ATCATCATTACATCGAGTCTCATGTTATCAACTTTAGGTAATCAAAACTAATCAATTTGTACAATGAAAAGGCATTTTTGTTTTATTTAATTGCTAGAGGCCCTTTGCAGGAAGATTCCTGCACGAACAGGCTTCGGGCGGGCTTCCCTCCTGCCACTGCCACCTCTCCCGTGCCCCTTCACTTTCCCTGCTGCCTCTGCCTCCCACCCCCCACCTCACGCTTTTCCTCCTGTGGCTGACCACCACCACCCTCCTCGATTTCCCTCCCACCACCCCCTGTGCTTTCCCTCCTGCCACCACTGCCCTGTGCTTTCCCTTCCGCTGCTGCCCCGCACTTTTCTACTAGCTGCCTACCGCCTCTGCTGCCCACCCACCCCCACTTTCCCTCCCACAGCTGCCTTGCTTTCTATTTTCCCTCCCTCATCCTTCTGTGCTGCCTTCAGTCTTCACTCCTCCCTCCCTCAGCGTGTGCAAATAACCACCATCTTTGTTGGGTTAATTTCCATACTTGCTCTGATTGGCTGTGGGTGTAGTGAAGGTACGGTTAATTAGCATTTTCCTCTTTTATTAGTGTGGATTCTTTATTTATTTGATTTGTTGACAGGATATAAAAATCTTAAATAGCTCAGCCGGCATGGCTCAGTGGTTGAGCATTGACCTATGAACCAGGAAGTCACGGTTTGATTCCTAGTTAGGACACATGCCTGGGTTTTGGGCTTGATTGGATATGCAGGAGGCAGCCCATCAATGATTCTCTCCCATCATTGATGTTTCTATCTTTCTCCTTCTCCCTTCCTTCCTAAAATAAATAAAAATATATTTTTAAAAATCTTAGATATACCAAGAGCAAAAATAATTTCATATTACTACGTTTAATTGTTATTCCTCTTCTACGGAGTACCTATAAGGGGCACTTTCTTGACTTGGGTAGAGATTAAATACATTCTCTGGTTGTCCTTTTAAAGATTTGCATTTCAGCCCTGGCTGAATGGCTCAGTTGGTTGAGCATTGTCCAGTTGGTTGAGTATGTTCCTATGCAGAAGTGTCACTGGTTTGATTCCCCATCCGGCCATATACCCAGATTTCAGGTTTCATCCCCCCATTAGGGTGAGTACAGGAGGCAACCAATGGATGTTTTTCTCTCACATCAATTTTTCTTTCTCCCCTGTGCCTTCCTCTCTCTTAACAACTACAACAATAAAAATATATTTTGGGCAGAAAAAAGGTTGTGGGTCTGATTCTGGTAGGGCACATACCTAGGTTGTGAGTTCAATCCCTAGCTGGGATATGTGCAGGAGGCAACCTACTGATGTTTCTCTCACATCAATATTTCAAACACACACTCTTCTTCACTCTCTATAAAACAAATGAAAACATATCCATGCATGAGGATTTAAAAAGAAAACAAAACTTGCCCTTCAGTTAAAGATTCCCACAATCATTAAATACTTTTACTGTACTTTAAAATACTTTTAAATATTCCCACAATCAAAAAATACTTAATTTTTTAAAATATAGTTTTATTGATTTCAGAGAAGAAGGGAGAGGGAAAGAGAGATATAAACATCAATGATGAGAGAGAATCATGGATCAGCTGCCTCATGCACACTCAATACTGGGGATCAAACCTGCAACCCGGGCATATGCCCTGACCGGAATCGAATGTGTGACCTCTTGATTCCTGGTCAATGCTCAACTGCTGAGTCACACCTAGCTGGGCTTAATTTTTAAATTTTACTTAAATTTTAAACATAAACAGATATGAGTTTTTAAAAATCAAGAAAAAATATACGGTGACAGAGTTGATGGATTTAATAAGTACTTTTGATTTATTTTTCCAGAAAAAAATTCCAAAACTCTAGAATTTTACTCTCCCCTCTCTGAATATGATAAAATTTTATAAGCAGGGAATAATTTATGTATTAAACTATATGATAAAAGAAAGGGAAAAAATCTATGATTATAAAATGTATAAAATATTTATGTTGTATTGTTTAAGATATAACTAATATTTAAATAATAAGGTCTAAAATAATAATTATGGCTAAGACTTCACTTATTTATTCTGGTGTTTTTGTTTTCCAGGTCAAGCAATAATAGATTAAAAGCAGATGTATTGCTTAAATTTCACTATGTTTCTAACAATGCAGAAACAGTAAAAAAACAAGTTGCTAACATTTTGCATCAGAAGTTAAAATTAAATGAAAGCTTCTTGAAGATAGACACTTCATTGCCTTATCTTAAAGGTAAGAAATACTATTTCTCTCTCCTTGCTATAGTTCACAATTTTACTATCTTCTCATCTACAGAGAAAGGATCTTTATTTCACTATATAATAAAACTGCTTTTCATGTTTATGTTTCTCATTTACTTGATAATAAGCAAAAACCCAATCAACACCAAAATATTCCTTAGGTTAATATGGAAATAATTATGACAGAATAATTATATAGTAATTATATAATAACACAAATTTAATAGTATTTCCTCTTTTTTGAAAGAGAGATATTAGTATAATTGTTTAAATTAATTAAACATGGATATGATTTAAAAAAAACACACAAAAAAAACCTACACTGCTGCTGTGCCATGACAAGACTCCCTTGTGTTACTTCTTGATAGCCACACCCAAACCCTCTGCCCATCTCTAGCTCCTGGCAACCCTAATCCATTCTCCATCTATGTAATTATATTATTTCATGAATGTTACATAAATGGAATGATACACTTTATATGCTTTTGAGATTATTATTATTGGCAACCCCTAATTCTAAGGGACTTACCATAATAAACTCCCTACTCATAGTTATCTGCAGATGCATTCTATGATCCCGGTTAGAGTCTGACCTACATTAAAGACTCCTTAATTTGCACGTTTACTGAAATTTCACACAGCTTTCATTGTAGCAAAATGTGGGTCTAGATTGCTCATTATGCTTATCTAGCATAAGAAAGAATTCATGTAATTGTGGGAACAACAGAGCGTGCTTTTTTCTATTATACTTCATGAAAAAAAAATGACTAATATATTTGAGGATTTGTGGGTTTTTATTTGGTGGGTTTTGATTCCACAGGAAGCATCTGTGGACCAACCCAAGGTACCAGCTGTCTAAGGCTCTTGAATGGCTTTACATTAACACTACTGTGTGAATGAGGATGAAGGAAAACGCAGTCCAAAACATATTAGTATATATGTAAAAGTGGTCTTAGGTTCTCTTCAGTTTCACTTATATTTTAAGGTACTAATTCCATGGTATTAATTAATTAGATGCTATCTGCCTTTATGGCAAACAATATCATCCTCTCTGCCAATATTTTATAACCATTAACCAGTATTTTCCTGGAGCCTACATATAGTAGTCAGAAGAAAGTTTAATTTATATCTTAACCTCCCCTTTTCATAGGATTTTATTCTACTGCCTTTAAGTTATTTCCTGACTAATTCAGTTTCTTCCAAATAGAAATATTCATGTCATGGGTACAGAGTTTTAAATGATAATTGTTCCATTGCTGAGTAATAATCTTGTATTTTTTCCAGATGTAAATAAAATACAAGCAGAGCACATTCTGAACAGTGGTAAGTTCAAAAATATCACTGAGATGTTTTATAAATCGAATAACAAAACTTAAAACACTTTAAAAAAATTATTTATTAAGGTATCACATATTTGTCCTCAACCTCCCCCCGCCCCATTTAATCCCCCTTCCTCTCCACCCATGCCCCCACCCCCCTATTGTCCTTGACCACTGGTTAGGCTCATATGTGTGCACATAAGTCCTTTGGTTGATCTCTCCCTTTTATCCCCACCCTCCCTTTGAGGTCCAACAGTCTGACCCATGGCTCCTTATCTCTGGGTCTGTTCTTGTTCATCAGACTATGTTGTTCACTATTTTCCCCCAATTAGTGAGATTATGTCCTACTGGAAATATACTTATAAGAATAAAAAATGAGGCAAGCTATAATCATTAAAACACTTTTTAAGAGTTTCTTGCCCTAGCTGGTTTGGGTCACTGGATAGAGCATTGGCCTGTGGACTAAAGGGCCCCAGTTTGATTCCAGTCAAAGACACATGCCCCAGTTGTGGGCTCAATCCTAGTAGGGAATGTGCAGGAGGCAGCTTATCAAATGATTCTCATCATTGATGTTTTAATCTCTCTCTACCTTTTCCTGAAATCAGAGAGAGAGAGAGAGAGAGAGAGAGAGAGAGAGAGAGAGAGAGAGAGAGAGAGAGAGTTTCTTTCTCTACTCTCATGTTTACTATTTCCAAAAGTATATGATATCTCTAAATGGATTCATGATTTAACTCTCCTTAAAAGAAAAGAATTATTAGTAATAATTTGGAATTCATGTCACATGGGCTCCTTGGAAATAACTTGCTCTTCTTTACAGGATTCACTGATGACTTCTTTTAACAGTCCCCTTTCATTTTATCTTATTTATTTTTATTTTATTTACTTTGTTAAAGTAGAAAATTTGCTTAGAAGTAAATGACACCCACTAACTTTAATATGTAAACTTGGATATTTATACTAAGTTATGCGATGGTTTTAATATTAGACAAGTATTTAAATAAAATAGTACAAATAGTATTTTTTCTGCAATAATTAGTGTAATTTCACAATCAAAACAATCAACTATCACAGGGGTAAATGCTGCACCTAAGAACATAACCCCAAAATATAAGAAAAAATTTAAGAGAAATTGCTTTAAATACATTAGAGAGTGTATTAAATATTTTATGTTTTAAATTAATCAATTTTTAGTGTAAAAATTTACCATTCTATCATATAATTTTGATTAAAATTTTAAGGCCAGGCAAATTCATGAATGTTTTCATATTTTACTATGTGCCAAATATATGCATTGATAACTCTAGAAATAATCATCTTATTCTCATGTGACAGGTTGTGGTTTAGGAAGGGAATCTCCATCCATGGAAAAAATTGCTAATGGTTTTATTGCAAAGAAAGCTGATTGGCCATGGCAAGCCAGCCTGCAAATGGATGGCGTCCACTATTGTGGGGCCTCTTTGCTCAGTGAGGAGTGGCTGTTGACTGCCGCGCATTGCTTTGACACGTAAGTCCTCCATCTGTACCATCAGGGTCACCAATTGCACTTCTTCTCACCTTCACTTCTATAATTCATATCCCTTTTTCATTAATCATCTTAGGCCTCCCAATAGTATTGGTGATTTTTCTAGCAGGCTTAGAAAAAGTGACAGTTACTGAACAGTAGAAAAAAAAAATTAGACAGAGTATCTTCAGCTTTAACGGAATATACAGTAAATTTTCCAGCACTCTCAATTTTAACTAAGAACAAGCCAACACTATCAAAATTTAAACACACTCGCCAGTTTTTCTGAGATATATTGTAGATTTTTTAAAAACTCTGCTAATAATATCTCAGCCCACAAACTTACATCTGATTATCCCATAAACTTACATTTGATTTTCCCACATGGATATCTTTGGTGCTGTACTATTGTTATTTATATACTCATTGAAGATTTAACATACGGGACACTTGGAGAAAATAAAGAGATAGGAGTAGCTCTAGTGAAATTCACATAAAATGTGAAAATATTCTGGATAAAATTTAACCTAAAAGAAAAGAAAGGATGAGAAAACACTGAATCAATTGTGGCTCTAATCTCTCTCTCTCTCTCTCTCTCTCTCTCTCTCTCTCTCTCTCTCTCTCTCTCTCTCTCTCCCCTTTCTCTCTCTATAACTATACAAACACACATTTATATAACTATGCATGGACATAGTGATATGTATATGTAAGTATACAATATATCTAATTTTTATTCACACATTTTCTTCACAAAATAGCAATAATACATTGGTTTCTTTAGAAAAGAAAATACAAACTCCCCCTGAAGGAGAATACTTTAAGCTACATGAGAAGGGGGAGGGGGGGATTTGTCATCAGCTAAACCAACACAAAGCAGCTTTAGGGGAGAAACCTTAAATGAGATGGTGGCAGGCTCCCAATCTACTGTCACCTCAAACCATTTGCCCTTCTCCCACCCTATGTCCCCTGCCCATCCAGATTCCTGGTAACTTTAGATTAGAAATGAACTAACCATAATCCTTTTCCTCTGTGATCAGATACAAAAACCCCAAACTCTGGACGGCTAGCTTCGGAACAACCCTGAGCCCTCCGCTACTGAGAAGCAGGGTGCAGTCAATCGTCCTTCATGAGAACTATGCTGCCCATAAGCACGAAGACGACATCGCCCTGGTGAGGCTCTCCACGCCCGTCCTGTTTTCCGAAGATGTGCACAGAGTCTGTCTCCCGGATGCTGCCTTTGAGGTCGTGCCTAAGAGTAAAGCGTTTGTCACTGGATGGGGAGCACTTAAAGTGAATGGTGAGTGTCTCAGGAAAATAATAAAAACCTCCATCTGAGTGGAGATGTACAATAAGATACCAACTCAAAATACAGAAAATAAGAGGTTAAACCAGGATGCCCCATGAAAATTGTAGCAGAAACAACAAACAAAAACCAGATATTGTGAATTATGAAAACTTTGGCTATTGCTACTCCATGGCATTTATGTTTATTGTATTCTTTATGGGTTTCTCTAAAAACTAGTTATAACTTTTTCAAGCATAATTAAAGCATATCTTTCATATGATTTTTTTTTCATTGTTCTTTCATATGTAAAGATTCTGTTATGGCTACGTAATTCTTAAAGTATGTTATTTGTGAGCAGTAGTAATATATCATAAACAGAAATAGTCTTAAGAGAACAATTTAAATGACATTCCTGATGGTGAATATTAAATGGAGCCTTCTGACATATGTATCTATAAAACAGTTTTTGAGTCTGAGAGTTTGAGGGTGATAAGCATAATATTTAACTATACTTAATAATATATAATAAACAGCTGACAGACATTTAGATACTGATCTAAGTTTCCAGTTTTCTTAGTTGCACTTTTTACATATGGTTTAATCTGTCCGTGGCTTACTGATTCTCATTCGAGGCTCTTATAATGAAGTGTAGTCTTATTATGTTCTTGCTCAAAGTACAGCTTTTATCTACCGAGTCTTCCATCAGTTGATTTTTATAGATGTCTGCTCTCTTAATACGCACTCCAAAACATGGGATCCAGGTTGACATACTGTTGTTATAACTCTGAGTCCTTTTCCTCATTACTAAGGAATCTGCCTTGTTATACAGGGTATGGTGATAAATATGAAGGAGAATTAAATCCTTTGAAATTAGGTAAACTGCTTACTGATTGGAGTGGAAATATATAGCATCGCCCACTAGGGCAGGACCATGACACCTCCTCTAGAACCTACTTAAACTTAACATCGCCTTTTCTAAAGTAGTAGATTAGGAGTGATTTGTAAGTTCATCATGAAACATTCAATGCCCCAAAGTGTGTAGATTACTGTGTATTAACCTATCTATTGTTATAAGTTGCATCATTTAAAAAAATCTTTATTGTTATAAGTATTATACTGGTATTTTTTATGAAACAGTAGTATTTCATCTATTTAGTATTGTAGTTAATTCCTGATAGTAGAATCTTGCTCTATATTACTTTTTCGAAAGGATTCTCAATTGCCAATTTAAGTGTGTAATTTAAAGAGTAATAATCCAGATTTCCTGATAAATTATGTAAACTGTGACAGATTTTTTCCAGGTAGTGATAAATGCCCTGACTTTAAACCAAATATTATCCCCATTTAGCTAAGTGATCATTGCAAGACTCAAAGCCAAGTGAGCTTTGTTTTATTCATCTGAAAAAAAAAAAATCCACATCTATCTTTAGTAATTGTGAAAAGTATGAAGTAAGGCAGTGGAAGTAAATGTGCCAAGGATGATACCTAACACATAGAAAACTAAAGGGCATCCTGGAAATATAACTTAACTCAGAAGTGCTGTCATCAAGTCCAGAGTCCCACAACTTCCAGACATATATTTTTATCATTAATCTATCCTTTGCAAGACACAATTAACTATTATAAATACAAGAATTTGGAAATTCTTCACTTATTTGTGTTTTTTTTCCCTTCTTTAGGCCCTTTTCCCAATACTCTTCGACAAGTTGAAGTAGAGATCATAAGTAATGACATATGTAATGAAGTTCATGTATATGGTGGTGCTGTGTCATCAGGAATGATATGTGCTGGATTCTTGACAGGAAAACTGGATGCCTGTGAGGTAAGACTAGACACACATCCAAAAAAAATGAATCTGCTGAATAGAGATGAGCTCACTGACTATAAGTCAATGACACTACATGGATCTCCATAAAATTAAGTTCTGTAGGAGAGAGCAGAGTATAAAAGGAGGGAAAGAAAGAACCATAAGAAATACTTCTTATGGTTTTATTATTTCCATGCAAATGTAAAAAATGACCACCAGATGCACTTTAGGGCTCTAATTAGGGAAATGAAGTGGCAGCAGATAAGAGAAACTAAGTGAGGAAGCCACACAATCAGTGCTTCAAGCCATAATTATAGTTGATAGTTAGATATTGAATCCCTACTAGTTGTAAGGCATTGTGAGATGGGATTGGCAGTATCATTCTAGGGTGCTTGAGCCATTGACCTTAAATACATTCAGAGAGAATTATACTATTTAGAAAAAATTTGTCTTAATCATTAAACATTTAAAGAGAATATCACTTTTATTTTTTCCCTTTTTAAAAATGTATTGGGGTAACACTGGTTAACAAAATTATACAAGTTTCAGATGCACAATTTCACAACACATCAACCATACACTCAATTATGTGTTGAATACCTTGTCAAATTCCTTTCCATTATTTATTCCTCCTATGGTTTCCTTCCCTTCCCTTCATCTTTCCTCACTCTGGCAATCACTACCCTGTGTCCCTGTCCATGAGTTTCTTCTCTTCTTCTTTTTTTATTTTTTATTCAATCCCTCCACCTCTCCCACTCGATCTCCCACCTCCCACCCTCCAACTGCTGTCAGCCTGATCTCTGTTTATGAGTCTGCCTCAGTTTTGCTTGTTAGTTCATTAGATTCCACATATGATTGAAAACATATGGTTCTTGTCTTTCTCTTAGTTCACTTAGCATAAAGCTCTCCAAGTCCATCCATGCTATCACTTTTAAAGTCTGGTTAAATAAAAGAAGAAAAATAAATGTCAAAATTAATAAAGATTGTACCTATAGCATGTGAAACTGAGCCCAACATTCCATAATTCTAGAAGGATTAGGAATGACTGAGATTTTTACACATGAGTGCTTTTTTATATGCAAAGTTTCCACCATTGATCTGCCATTGGTAATAAATATTTACTCACTTATTCATTCACTTTTTTTGTGAATTACAAGATACTATGGCAATTACTGAAGGAAACATAAACACTTAAAAAAGTAGGAGTCCATTATGAATTTACAATCTAATAATAGCACATAAGTACATAACTAAAAGCAGTGGACAGAAGACAAGGATTTGGCTACATAATCTGGAATACAAGACCTCCTTATACTAGTTTTAATTCTTAAGAAGCACAAACAACATATATGTTTCAAGATAGAACTGGATCACATGACTTTTGAGGAAGAACACAAAAAAGTCTATAATTAGAATAGACTCAAATCCACAAAAATGAATATGTTGAATAGAAAGTTGTATTTGAGTTCATAAGAAATCAGATTTCCTCTTTCTATTGGTCCACGCTCTCTTGCTTCCTTCACCACCAGCTCACTGAAGACCTAAGTTTGGATGTGGGCTAATTTAGGGAAAAAGGTAAGGAGCGGTGAAGGATAGCTTTTGGTAGACCAAGATTTTCACACTCTGTCCACCGTTCACTGAAATGTACGAATAAGCATGTTAAGGAAAAAGAGCTAAAGTGATAAGACTCTAGGACCCTATGCCTACTACAAACAGGATCATTTATCTTATTAAAAAAATCTGTAAGGGACTTACACATAATACTTTTTTGGAATGAATAGGTTCTTTGCTAAAAGATAAGTACAAATCAGTTGTCCAAATCTAAGGTTAAAGATGTCAGGAAAGTCTTGTGATTCACAACATCCAAACCAGATTTTGAAGGCTCGGGAGTCCATCTTAGTTTGGAAGCAAAATCATGTGTGTAATAAATGGTGCACATTGGCTTGGAGTTCCCTTTGCACATATTCCTCTCAAACCTACTGTTACACAGTGATAAGGTGTCCAAGACACCTTTCTATCAGCTGGTGAGAATGGAACAAGGTGAGATTTAAACTCAAATCAAGAGATTATTTCTACATAACAGAATTAGGAGAGGCTTCATTGTAGAGGTGATGTTTAGTTGAAGCTTGAGGTATCATTTATGTAAGAACTGGATGCCTACATTTAGATACAGTTTGCACTCTATTTAGATAGGGCAAAGCTAAAAAACTATACAAAGATAAAACAAGCATTATCTTTGTTATCATCTAATGTGAAGACATTAATAGAGACAAGCAGACATAAAAAGATAATAAGTGATAACACAATTATTATATTAATAGTAATAGTACTAAGTAAAAGTAAAATTAGTGTTAGATACTTTAAAATATTAATTTGTTAGATAATTAAGTTGCTGATTAACTGTCATTCTGACACTCATTTATTACATTGACAATATTTTTCTTCTTCTCTAGGGTGATTCTGGGGGACCTCTGGTTATAGCACCTGATGGAAACATCTGGTATATTATCGGAATAGTAAGCTGGGGAATAGACTGTGGTAAAGAAAACAATCCTGGAATTTATACAAAAGTGACTCATTATCGGGACTGGATTAAATCTAAAATTAATATCTGATGCAACAACCATCTACCTCCAAGTGTAAATGTCATGTGTGGTATCTAGGAAATTGTGTCCAGTATGTGTTTGCCATGTATGCTGTCATTGAGGTCAAGAGGCAAACAAGCATGATCTGACAACTCTCCCCACTTAAATGTGAGGAGAAGGTAGGCTTTCTTTCACATAATCTGAAGTGTTTTGCTGACCATGAACACATTAGAAACTGTCATCTCCTCAAAGATCCACCATTGCTGCTGTGTCTCTGATGACCTTGCTCACCTTTCTATCCCTACTACACACTTCTCAGTTTAGCCTAATCCAGCAGTATAAGTAGGTAAGTACCACTTGGCTAAGCATTCTCTATTTTTTTCCGCTGACAGATCACACTGTCTTTCTCCTGACACCATGGTTTTACCTTCCTCATCAAATAGCTCTCATTAGGAATCTGTAGGTCCATGGCTAAGCAAATCAAAGTAATTAGTTTTGGTCAATGCTAAAACAAATGATGGAGGGGCACTAGACGTGAAACCAGGACTTAAGAGATGGCACTACTATGAGTTCTTTCCCCTTTGCCCTCAGGTGCATATTTTACCTCTTTTTGAAACTTGAAGAAAAACTGTCGTTTATATTTATACCCAGATTTTAATCTCCTTAAACAACTACAACTAATCTTTACTTTTGAACAATAATGAAACAATTGAATCAGACAGCAGGAGAACTGAAAATATTGCCTAGAAATGGATTTTGTTTTAAATTATGTAAGAATGCCCTTTGATAGTCAAAAAAGAAAAGTTTCCTGGCCTTTTCACTGGTTGGGACTGAGAAGAGGCAAGGACTGAGTAAGAATGAGCTTCTTGGCTCTCTAACAATGGGAGAAGTTCCGATCTTAGTGTAAATTTACTTCTCAGTTCTATTTAATAATTTCCTGATACAGTTTATTTTTCTAAAAAAAATTATTTTCAATCAACTTCAGAACAGTTAAGGAACCCACAGAATAAAACAATGTAAATTAGATATTCATAAATAATTTAAACAAGAAGCCAGTATAAAATTAGACATTCATGGATACTTTGATGCAAGATTTTGGGAAATATCTTATTATACAATATTTCAATTTTCTGTTTAAAAGTTAGGCATTATTTGAAGAATGGTATTTATAAAGAAACTTAAGAAAGCATCTTTGAAGTGGTTTCATTATTTTCCTATGTCATTTTCATATATATTTAAATGCATTTTTGTGGCACTGTACATGGCAACATGACATGAGTAATATTCAACAAAACTCAAACTTTTTCTGTGCATCTAAACTTTTATTTGCTTGCCCACTCTTTTTACAATTAATTAAGTTTAGTTAATGAAATAACTGTCAATACTAAGAATTTTTTTTTAGTTTTATATCAAGGGAAAGTCTCTCTTGTACTGCATAATATTATATTATGTTATATACATTAAAATATATTTATAATAATAAAGTCAGACTCATTCTTTTTGGTCATCACTGCAGGGTTTCTCATCCTTAGTACCATAGACATTTTGTCAGAGATAAATCTCTGGGGGACGCGGTGCATGGAGGGCCAGCAGCTATCCCCTAATTTTTGGAAGGTTTAGAAGCATTCCTTCTTTCTACACACTAGATGCTAGCAAGTTTCAGCAAACAAAAATGAATCCAGACATTGCAAAATGTTCCTTGAGTGGCAAAAATCATCCTCAGTTGAGAGCCTCTGCCATGGGATCAACAGCCAAAAGAGAAAATTCACTGTTAAAAATCTTGCACCATAATTTTCTTACATAAATTTGGGAATATCTTTCTCCTCCCCATTTTCATTTTTTAAAAATTTAATTGATTTTTTTAGAGAGAGAGAGAAACATCGATCTGATCAAGGGATAGAACATGCACCAGGAATTGAAGCCATCACCTTTTGGTGTACAGGATAACGCTCCAACTGAGTCACACCAGTCAGAGCTCTTCTCCATCTTTTTATAACGCCGGTGTATCGAGGATGCTGAGAGACCATCATGATCATACCCTTATCTAAACAACTCTAGCTAAATTAAGATCATTTAGAAACTGGACCTGGCTGGAGGAAGAAAGCTGTTTGAAGTTTGAACAGCTTTGGGCAAATAATTAATCTGTCTATCTATACAACCACCTACAGAGAGACTTATATGGAGAGGAATCTATATCCTATATAGTAAAAGGCTAATATATAAATTCACCCTAATGATGGAACAACTGGTTGCTATGATGCACACTGATTACCAGGGGCAGACGCTCAACACAAGAGTTGCCCCCTTGGTGGTCAGTGTGCTCCCACAGTGGGAGCTCCCCACAGCCACAAGCTGAGCTGATGGCGACAAGCGCAGCGGTAGTGGTGGGAGCCTCTCCTGTCTCCTTGCCAGCACTAACGATGCCTAACTGTGGCTTAGGCCCAAGGGCTCTCAGGCTGCTAGAGGGATGTCTGGCTGCCAGCTTAGGCCCAATCCTTTGGGGAGTGGGCCTAAGCCAACAGGTGAACATCCTCCAAGGGGTTCCAAACTGCGAGGGGGTGCAGGCTAACCTGAGGGAGTCTTCACAACCCCGAGTGCACAAATTTCCATGCACCTGGCCTCTAGTAGACATATATCCACAGAGAGATATTTCTCAAATACCTTAATTCTGCAAAATTACACATAAGTATGCTACTTAGTATCTTCAAAATGCATAAAGAGATACTACTTGAAAGAGCATTATGTGTTTGGCTGAGACAGCATGATCCACTCCGTCACTCACTAACAGTGTAGAGTGGAGACTAGAAAATCGCAAAGCAACACTAAGCACTCAAAGCTGCACTGTCCAATATGGTAGGCACTGACCAAATGGGGCCACTTAGATTTAAATTAGTTTAAATTAAATACAATTAAAATTTCATTTCTTCAGTCATACTACTCATATTTTAAACACAAAATAGCTACCTTTGGCATATTGAGCAGTATGGGTAATATAATTTCCATAATTGCAGAAAATATTATTGGACACTACTGACCTAAAACATTCTATGCAACTACTTAAATCAGTAATTTTCAACCTTTTTCATCTCATGGAACACAAAAACTAATTACTAAAATTCTGCAGCAAACCTAAACATGCACTATATATATTTTATTAATCTGACAGAAAAAAAATTGGTATAAATTTGATTCATTCACACCGGACAGCTATTATTGTGTTGACCAGTATCATATTTTTATATGATACTCTAAGGGAAAAGAGGTCAGTGCCCTGACTAAATGGGTATTGCTTGTTTTAAAAATTCTTGCAGCATACAGGTTGAAAATCACTGACTTGCATAATCACTTATTCATCAAATAAACATTATTTGAGATTCTATGTGTCAGACATCGGGTACTCTAGACACTGGGTATACAATTGTGTACAAAGCCAAGTCCTGTTTTCAAGATCACATAAAAAGGTAAAAGTGTGTTTGATAATTGCTGGTGAAGTAGCAAACCCTCGGAGTGTGTGTGTCTCCTTTCAGACTCTCCTTCCTCTAAGGCACGTTTCCCAAAGTGTGGTATGCGTACCCCCAGGGATACGGGAAGAGTTTGGTGGGGGTACGCGTTGCACCGGAGTTTGGTGGGGATATGCACTGCACTGTGCTTAGCTGCGCCTAATTCTACGTTCTCATGAATACGAGGGGTACTCAGTGTTACGAAAATTATAGAAGGGGTACACATATGTCAAAAGTTTGGGAAACACTGCTTTAGGGAAACTAGTTCAGAAATGGAGAGGTGAATCTCTGTATGAGTACAGCAGACCCACCAGAGACCCACAGGTAGATGAGAGTGATCAGAAATCACTTTTCAACCTGCCAAAGATCCCAGAACTTTCCCAATTAATGGTATGTTACAGAATCAAAAAAAGTTATTCATTGCTTTTTAAAAAAAACATGATATTTCTTATAACTCAAAAAGATATATAATTCAACCAAAGAAAAAAGTATCAAGTAATGAAGAAGTAGCAAAGTCACAAAGTTAAAAAATATTAAATGATGTTTTAAGCAAGGGGCCAACCCAAATAAAACAAGGATTGTCATGTGCAATATGCTAATGTCATTTTGGTTGCCAGAGAGGAGGGAAGGGTGGTGATGAGTAAGAAGGGGGAAAAGGAATAAGAAGCACAACTTCCAGTTATAGAATAAAATAAGTCATAGTGATATAATGTACAGCCCAGGGAATACAGTCAATGATATCATAAAAGTGTACAGTGATAAATGTTACTAGACCTTGTGGAGATCACTTCATGATTAATAAATATTTAACTGTTGATTAAATAGGTTGTACACCTGAAATTAATATAATATTTTATGTCAACTATTCATGAATTAAAAAAGAAAAAAAAATGCTGCAAGATACTAAGAAACTTAGACCAAATGTGCTACTATACTGCCATCTCCTGGTCAATGTTATTTTAAAAATATATTTTATTGTCATCTCATTTCAAACTATAATTTATACAATCTGTGTCCCAACATAGAGTAATACAAAGAAAAATCTGGCAATCTCTCCCAAATTTTCTCCTGAGTTAATAAAAGTTTCCAGTTTTGTATATCCTTGCATGGTTTTCTTTGTTTATATAAACATAATCTGAAGGATTTATCCACTTGAAAAGTTATATATTTTTATCTGCCCCCCTCTCTCTCATTTCTGCCAAATTAATGAACTAGCATAGCATACCTTCTCCCTCCAAATCAATCCAATCAAATAAAGTATATAAGAAAGAAGTAAACATGAATTCTAGGCCAGGAAATTATAATAAAAGTGAGAGACGAGGAGACTGAGGCTATCCTGAACTGGAGTATGTGTGTGGGTGGCAGAAGCCTAGAGCGGAATAAGAGAATATTAAAGGAATAATTTCAAAGTTTTACTTTTTCATCCCTCCCCCTGACCCCCAACACCCTTCCTTTCCCAACGTTGCCTTGAGACAATGCTCTCCTGCTTTTCATACCAGACACTAGTCCGAGCAATCCAGACTGCCGATT